TTCTTGCATAATATATAGAAAAATTATAAAATATAAATATATTTATCATTTTTGATGGCCATATATACAATTTATTTATTTTATATCCCATATATATTTATATATAATCCCATATTAATTTTAGTCACTTCCTCAAAGAAAAGACTTTAAAGCACCAAGCAAACGTTGAAGACACCGTTAAAGAATTTATTAATACTAAAGTTATTAATAATAAAAGTTAAATAACATTATTCACGTAACAGTTTATTTCCTAATTAATTGAATATAAAAGCCCCTAAATTGTTTATTTTTGTTAAACTTTTTTTTGTTTTTTAAACTTGCTTTTTATTTTTGTTAAACTTGTTTTTTAATAACAATTGAAACATATAATTCCAATAACAATCTGGCGTGTGCCTATATATACTCTCTTCATTACCTAATTTTATTATTACACCGTCGTGTTTATTTTCGTAAGTTCACGCGAGTAACATTTCTGACGGGAAGCCAAACCGAAGACGCTTGATCGTACACTTCACCCAAATTCGTCACTTCCGCGATAATCTGCTGCCAAGTATCACGCGATACGTTTCGAAATCGGATAATTCCGAATTTCGAAATTAAAATGCAAAACCACGACGTAAATGTCATCAGTTGAATATAAGTCACGAAATTAAAGGCTAGTTTCCACCAATTGATAAAACTAGTCAGATTTACATCGTGTTTGGAGTCATTTCTATGAGAAAAATGACAGTGGTCCATCTGTACTATGATTGAGAAGATAAAGTTAAAATTAAATTGAAAATTGCAGTTGAAATTTTCTTTGTTGCATATTTATCCTTACCGTCTCGATTTTAGCACCGGTGTATTGCTGAGATTGTGCTGATTAAAATGAGTCCAAACACGATGTAAATCCGACTATTTTATCAATTTCATGAAAACGCGCCTTTAATTTCACGATTTACACTAAATCTCTGAAGCTAGTCCGATTCCCATCGTCTTAGGGCTCATTTTAATCAGCACAATCTCAGCAATTCACTGGCACTATATTTGAGAAGTTCAGACTAAATGACTGCAATCGAAATTTTCCCCATTGCATGTTTCTCTCTGCCTTCATCAGACTCTACCGAGTCAATTCTTAAACAAACAGCATCCTTCTGTCTTCTGCTCGCGTAAGTTCCACTGCAGCAGCCCGAAACCGTAGAATCTAAGCGATCATGTACTCTCCAACACAATCGACGGCCAATTTGTCCCGCGGGGTCGCGTCGCGCCGTTTCTCATCAGACTCTCCAAGGAGTGCGTGACGCGCTGACGCAACCCGCTTAATTGACACAGTTTTTGATACGAGCGCGATACGTGCTCCTTCACTGGGTCAACGTTCGTTTCTTATTAACGGCAATTAACACCCGCGTATAAACGTTTACTAATGACGTCAGTGTTGCTGTACGCGGAACGGTTCGCAATGATCCCGAGTCGACCGCGTCGCGCTCCATCGAGCTGTTTATGTCGAGTGTCGCCATATACAGGGTGTTCACGGTATTACTAACGTCCTTTCTTGTAAACAGTAAATATTAGAAAAAATAATAATAAAGAAAATAAAGAAAATTTCAATCGCAGTAAATTAGTCTTACCTTCTCAAATATAGTGCCAGAGGATTGCTGAGATTGTGCTGATTAAAATGAGTACAAATACGATAGGAATCAGACTACTTTTACGATTCGATGGAAACGAGCCTTTAATTTCATGAATTACATCAAATCTGTAAAACTGGTCCGATTCCTATCGTGTTTGGACTCATTTTAATCGGCAGAATCTCAACATTCTACCGGTACAAGTAAAAGTCATCCAAATCGATGATGCCATTAGTATCACGCATAATTACCGAATTATTGAAATATATGTGCTATTATTAGCACAGAATCGACAGGTTTCGCAGCTGTATGTGTTCTCGTCGATTTTTCGTCGTTCGTGATCGGTGACGTTATCGATGATTAATCATTCATACGGCGAGCGCGCGTGGATCCGTGGAAATCATTCAGATTGCCGCGGCGTGCGCGGTTCATGGAAATCGACAGTGGAAAGGAAAGTGTGCGCCCGAGAATTTTTCGCTCGAAAATATCGCACGGGTTCGCCGTGAAAGCGGTCGTAACGGCCGGTTATCAACGGGCACCTGTAATTAACCGGGTCACTGGCACACGCAGCGTCGAACGTAATAGCTGATGACTATTCATTCGGTGGGATTGTTTACCTTTTTTTTTGTTTTGCTATTTTGGAAGTGGTGTAAATGGATTTTTTTAAAAAAATGAGATATCATATGATTTTTTATTTGTAATTAATCAATATTTAATTTTTGTTTAAAAATGACAGTGCTTTGTTTAATTTAAAATTGGTAAATAAAAGAAACTGCGAGGTGATTGGTCATGAAAGTAATATAAGTGGACTCTTTTGAAAAATGAGATATTATATGATTTTTTATTTGTAATTAATTAATATTTAATATTTTAAATTATTTAATTTCAATTGTAGAAATTTTAATATTTAAATAAAAGAAACTGTGAGGTGATTGGTTGTGAAACTGGTGTAAGTGGATTCTTCTGAAAAATGAGATATCATATTATTTTTTATTAATTTAGTGTGAATTTTTTATTTGTAATTAATTGATATTTAATATTTTAAAAAATGCCAATGATTTATTCAATTTAAAATCGGCAAATAAAAGAAATTGTTTCACTGTTTACAATGATATTCTGTAGAATTCAATGAATCTAAACCATTTGATAATAATATTGGTATTAATAACAATCGATAAAATAAATAATTCTTGATAAACTAATATTTACAATTTATTCATTTACAAAAGTATCCATAAATTCTTCTATTCCCAAGCAATGCATCACCTGACAAATATCCTCACAGCTAATATATTTCAAGTGATATTTAATTGTTCATAATTGAAATAAATGATTTTTACAATTGACTAATTATGAAAATGAAAATAAATCAAATTACATATTGATCAATTAGTAGAAACATTGCCAGACTTGGCATAATTAATTTATATTTTTCAATTGACTAATATGCTAACATTTAATTTTCTCGAAACAACAAAAAATCAGTAAAGCAGTGGATCAGTAAAAATATAGTATTACATATATATACATTTTATAATAAGTAATAATTAATATTATAATGAATAATAATAATAATAATTCGTTGTTGTAGTGCCTTTAAGACATCATTAATTCCAAAACGAAAAAATTAAAAACAGTCATTTCGAGCTGTCGTCTAGTATCAAAGAAATCCCGATCAAACTCTCACCCAATATTAAAAAAAAAATTGCTATCCCATAAAAACCAGTACACCATAAAGAATAAGCTTAACCCATAATTTCCCCTGAATAGCACCGTGCAAA